AACCCCCCCCCCCCCCTCCTATTGACACTACAGCTTCGGGGGCATTCCTATTGACACTGGAGAGACTAACACAACAAAATAATTAAATCCCATCAACTAAAAGATGTATATTCGCCAAACACCGTCCAATAATCTGCGGCAATTTCTGAATTCTACCAGTCATAATTGTTCACTGGAAATGCAAACACAAAATTATTTTCCATCATCCAAGAAAGATAAGCATCAAACCCGAACACTTTCCGATTTCGTTCCGATCCCCTTCCGAAGAGCGCCAGCCAATCACAGATAGAAGAGTCGATCACTGAGAGCTAATGCGGGATCTTTATGGATCGAGGTGCCAACAAGATAGGCTAACTTGTGCGCGTACTGCAACCATAAGAAAACGTATAAATATAGGGGAATATGGGATGTCTTTTCGAGTATCAGAAGATAAAACTATTTGATATCATGGTGAAATTTTTGCAGGTAGAATATATAAATTAAGTGGTTGATTACTCTGGATAATTTATAATGGTTACTACATGTAGCCATGGAGACGGAAGAGTTTCACAATCGAATTCAAAACGTAGGTTGAAAAGTGAAGGTTGAAACCTAGGATTGTTACCGGATGATCGATTTCTCATACGAAAAACAATACGTTCACTCACCCGTTGTAGACCTTCCCAACCTTGTGTATCTTTATATTAAAACTATGAACTACTTGCCAAGAGAGTAGGATTGTATCTTACCTGACATGGTGCAGGAACACGGACAGTTCCAGGCCAATTGTAATAGAGATGTGTCAGCTTGTATGACAATCTACAAAAGTGATAGTTCCAATTTACTACAGGAGGAAACCTCATCAAATGTGAAATGTTCCAGTTCCACATATGTTCAAAGTAATAATTTCACATGTGAAATTATATATGTGAATTAGCCTGAAGTGTTAAAAGTTTACATAGTTATACTATCTTTCCTACATACCTTTGAACATGATCTGGCTTCAGCGATGAAGAATTGTGAACGACGATATAGTGAGTAGGCGTGACAGTTCCTTGTCGAACATGTTGGCTCACCAGGAAGAAATCATACCTGAATGTATCATAACATTAGGGTTATAAGTATGGGTTGTAAGAACAAAACTTAACTTTAATTACACTGGAACGATGAGCCCCCTTTTGGTTTAGGAAATCTCAGTCATAGATGCCGACTTACCAGTCCTTTCTTGTGACAGTGTGATCAAGAACTGTCCCTGGGCCAGGATTGTCCAACATGTGTTGAGAACCTCGTGTCTGGAAATATCACAATTATAACCATCATTATAATTACCGTCACCACCATTAACAGCATTAAGGGAGCGGTCATTATTTATGGCGGGGGGTGGCACTAAAGAGAAAAGGGTTGGGTAAACAAAATTTTGAGTAAGTAAAAGATTTGGTAGATGAAAAACAAAACAACTCAAGTGTTGGGTATAACAAAAAATTATTGTCATTTCCAAAGTCATTTCCAAAGCATGACTCGCTGAAATATTGGAGACTAAAAGCAATGTCAACAGTCATATGTCAATACAATTTGTGAATCAATCAGAGTCACGATCTTGATCATTTTCCAATTTGTTGGGAGGGAAATGTTGTCTCCAAAGAAAGTACACCGTTATCAAACTTATATCACAGAAGTGGTAAAGGACATGTGTGACAACTGAATGGTATCCTTTTGAAAAGTTTTTGGCCAGGGGTGGGTATTTGTTTTTAATTGATATTTGAGGTTGGGTAATCAAATTTTTGACTTTTTAAAGTTGGGCCAGCAAAAATTTTGCCACGAAAAACATTTCCCTTCGGTGCCACCCCCTACCATAAATAATGACCGGTACCTAACACCAGTCACCACTATCATCATAAACCCCATAAACATCACCACCACCACCATCATCATCAACAATACAATCACCATCATTATCACCACCATATCTATCATTACCACCTTACCTCAAACGAAAAGATTCTGGTATTAATCCTCTTCTGAACCACAATCATGGTCATCTGTGGTTGGTAGCTTTCGCCAAACAGAGCGAAACATTCCGACAGTTGTGGTACTTCATAACTACCAACAGTATTCAACTGTCCATCACCAACACCATCACGGAAAACGATGATCTTTTCTGGTAACGTATGGTTAACCTGGAAATACAAAGGTTGGAATTTTAATCGGTTGAGAGAGGAGTACAATTACTTTATATTACAGACTGGTTTACACTATCAAAGTTTCTGTGATCACAGTAGAAATTTTGCATCGGTGAATTCTAAGTCTTGAAGGATTTGTAAGAAATTTTTGAGGGAACTGACTTAGTGTTAATACTGAGCCAGTTCCCTCAAACATTTCGTACAAATCCTTCAACTCATTTACCTATGCAAAATTCCTACTGTGATCACAGAAACTTTGATAGTGTAGGCCAGTCTTAATAGGCAATTCCAGCTATAGACTACATTTTGATCTAGGCAAGAAAACAAAATCCATCACGACAGCTAGAACGAGCATACTAAACTGAGTAAAATTGCACGAGAAATGTTGTAAAATGCGGAAAATATAACCCTGCAAAATTTGCAAATTTTGTATTAATTAACAATTATTCGCCGAAGGCGAGGTGATTATCGGTGAATAAAAACCAAGACGAAGTCGAGGTTTTTATTCACGATAATCACCGAGCCTGAGGTGAATAATTGTTTTAGTATAATTTCATAGGTGATTATTTGGAAAAAAATTTTAAAATGCACATTTCTTTGTCATTTAATTCACAAAACGGCTTCGGCCGCCATTTTGAAAATCGCTTAGGTGATTATCGCGTAATAATCACCTCAACAGCAACCAATCAGCGTGGAGAATTTTCAATAATCACCTATGTAATTATACTAATTTGTATTAAGTACGGGAAAATGCACCACATTTGGGCCTCCATTGTACCCCAGTATAATAGTTTACCTCATGGAACTTCTTCAAAGCAGAAGTCAAACACATCTTCAGACCATCAACAAGCTCTTGTCCTGGAGTCTGGAAACATACTCGAGAATACCAGCGAGTCAATGAGCGATTTGTGCTTGCAACAAAACCACCCACAGAGCGACCACCACGACTGGCATCGTGGTACACGTCGATACCAACCACCATCAGGCTTTTCTGTAAGAGAATTTAAAGGTCATATTTAGAGCGTCTCTGTGAGACAAAACCCATGATGTGAACAAACTTGCTCAAATGAATGGTAATCAAGCGTACCAGTGGAATATCTAATGCCCACAGCTCGCCTCCCAACTTGCAGTTGATTTGCAGGGCAATCTTCTGAGTCACACTTCTTAGTTTGTTTTGCTGGGATATGGTACGTGCATTGATCACCTAAACACAGGTAAAATATGATAAGATAAGGTACTGTATGGTAAGGTTTGGTAAGATATTGTAAGGGTAAGATAAGATATCGTAGGGTAGGGTATGGTACCTGGGATGGTACTGGGCATTCAACACAACACAGTTTCTTGACAGCGGCATAGCGATCATCACGAGAGGTAGGGAAGATGATGACAACCATTTGAATATTGGGATTAAGATGTTCCCGGATCGTGCGAAGATATGTTTCAGTCCTATCATCACGAGCTTCCAGTACAATTGGATCTGACACCTAAAATAATAATATAAAAAATAGACCCGATTTAGTAAAATAACATCATACGCATCATCACACGAACCCAGCAATTATCTCCATCATCGTAATCATCATCGTGATCATCATCACCATCGTAATCATCATCGTGATCATCATCGTGATCATCATCATCATCATCATCGTGATCATCATCATCATCATCATCGTAATCATCTCCATCATTCTGTTTTCAAATAAAGTTGCTACGCACATAAAGCAACCCTATATTTTACGTTTCTTACCGCAATGCCCATAGCGGGAGTGACTTTCTTCATGTTTTGAATGAAGTCCAAGGCTTTGCTTTGATCCCGTTTCGTGAATATACATAACCATGTACTCAAAGCCACCTGGAACAAACAATTCATGAGTAAATTAGCCAATCATATTGCTTTATTTTGCTTTATAAAACTGGATATCTGATGAAGTATATTGAAAACGAGAAATCGACCCACTCTGATAACTGTGTTTTGTTTTAGAGTTGACCCCCCGTCACTTTTGTGACGTCATATGAAACACAAGAATTAGTATACTTACCGCTGTTATAACGG